ATTTTTGACCGCTATTTGTGGACGACGAATATCCTAGCAGACAGGGGTCTTGCCCAATAATTTTGCAGCCGTGAGTTTGTCTGGGCCCATCGTCGAGAACACAGCAGCGTCGAGGCAAGCCAGTCATCGAAGCAGAAAAAGGTGCAGTCGTCGACGCTGTCGGAGAGGGACACCAGCCAAGAGACGCGGCAAGCGCGGAACCCAGACTGCCCCCCGCTGAGTCCCGAGCCACAGCTGAGCCACGCCGAGCAGCCAATCTACTGGCCTTGGACTTATCTCCTACCTCCACGCCCCTTGCGCTAAGTGATTTTCGGTAGTTCACAAAGAACAAGCCACAATCCGCATTTCTCTCGCTTGCTCTCCAATATTCCAATATTCATCGCGACGCCCTACTATCTGCTCCATCTTTGCCCTGGCGACTGCTTCCCGTTGGCTGCATATTTCCTTCGACCCGCATTTGCTTTTTCTCCTACCTACCCTCCAGTCAATCAGCTCACACACGCTGATTTTCCCCCCACCCCAATATTTTACTCGCCCATCATTTCCCTTGCGCGTCGACGATTCCCGCCATCGCCTCCAGCATTGCATCGTTCACTCATATGGCCTCCTCTCCTCCCGATGCACTCGCTCGCTGTTCGCAATTTCCAGCTGTGATTTTATGTTTGCCCCCATCATCCCCCCGCCGACGTGAATGGCTAGTGGCAAAATGGACTGGGGAAGTCGGTGGGAGTGGGTAGTTGAGAGATTTTACCCGACAGCTTGGCCTTACGGCGGATTCGTGGGCGGTGGTTTGAGGACGGTCGGTGAATATGGGGAAGGTGCGAGAGAATCTGCTACTGCTCTACATCGCTCTTGCCCGACAGGTACTCGTCGTTGCCGGGACCGTCCCGCCTGGTTGCCGACTGTCTCAAACAATATTCGCCGCACCGTATCTGCCACGCCCCCACATCGAAATTCAAGAATATTATTGAAAATGTCCCGACCCTGTTGGGAGTTTATATAACCTTTGTATTGGGTTGGCTTATGCCCTGAGGTGAGCTCATCTTTCGGTACCATCTCAATTAACTAAGCAGGCTGTGCAAGAGTCGGTTATCAGGATTCGGGAGACTACGTTCGAGGTCGTTAATAGGTATCTCTTCTGTGGATGATGTTGGGGAGGCGCATGATTGGATGCCTATTCGTACGCTTGCAGTCGCGAAGACTGCCCTCCCTATCTCCTCGTCGTTCTCTCTGTCACTATGAGCAATATATTTCCTTCATCCCCCACGTCGTGCAGAGATTCTAGCGATTGGATTGGCGAATCTCTGCTTACCTTTTCGCTTCAGTTCGGTATACCAATAATTTCGATCATTGATTCATATCACTGCGTTGATAGGTCGGCGCCATCAGCAGATTGCTCAAGTTGACCGCTGCGGCGCTAACCGAGGGTCGAGCAGACATTGATCTCCTTGTCCTTATCCTTCAAACTTCGTTCTTGCAGACTTCGTATATTGTTGGTGTACAAATACATGGTCGGTGCTATGCAAGTTACGCTAAGCTGCCAACGACAGTCACACCGATCTCTCATGTAATCCATCCTACTATCCTTCGATTCATAAATGTACAATCTCTGCTTTGCCATCCTAGATTCTCCGCGTCACCATGAAACGCCAAACTAAAAGTTACAGCGCTACTTTGTTCTTGATCCACGATAATAGTTCACGGTTTACCTCGTCAGGAACCTCGAGTTGGCACCAGTGCCCCGTATTGAATTCTACTGTGGCCAGGTCGGAACAATATTGATTCAGGCTATGGTATGCCACCAGAGGCGGTGTGGCGTAGTCCGCTTTGCAACCACCATAGAACACGGGTTGCTGGATGGCGTAATTTGTCTTCGGTATGTCTAAGGATATGAGTATGGTACATGACGAGCTAACGAAGAAGTGTTTGGACGCTCACGTTCGTCGTCATCAACATTTAAGCGGAATGCTGTGCATTTGTACCAGTTCAAGCCGCCATCAAGTCCATTGCTTTTCAGTTTGTGCGTGACGATTTCCCTATCCTGTTCGACGACCAGTTGTGAGATTGTGAACGGTGATGTAATGAGATGGCACGACGATGAGTACCTGTTCGGTGAGATAGGAAGCAGCTGGCGCCACTTTCCCTGCCTGAAGCCACGCCTTCATTGCGCCTGGAGGGCAGAGGTGGTCCTTCCATAGTCCAGGATCAGAAGGGTAAATCAAACTAAGAGCGGAGTCCCACTACAGGAGAACAAGATTAACCATGGATATGCCGCACTGATCATCGACGACCAACATGGTCCGTGATAACTTTGCCTGCTCCCTCTTCTGTGCAAAATCTGGCGTCAAAGTGAAGACAATTCAAGTTGCGAAGATCAAACACATACTGCCAGTATCCAAAAGGATTGTACCCAACCGCCTGCGTCAGAAGGTTTACAGTGCCTTCATAGGTGTATCCGACATGGGGAGGCGAATATCCGACAGCCAGAAATGCGAATGCGAGGAATCTCTCGGGATAGTAATTAGCCAGCCGGCTCACTAACACCGCTCCCCTGGAATGATTTTGAACCTTCAGGGATTCTTCAGAAATACGGCAAAAGATAAGATCGCACCAATCATGTCCGACGGCAATGGCTTTGTCGACGTTTTCGGCGATCAGTATATCAACCAGGTCCGCAGCCATACCGCGATGTTTGTAGGATGCAGGGTTGCTCGGTTTGTCCGTACCGTCATATCCAAGTGCATCTGGTACGATCAGACCAAAGCCTTCCTTTCGAAAGAAAGCAACTTGGTGGCGCCAGTCGTAGGATGTCGAAGGGAACCCATGGACAAGCAAGATTGTTGGTTTGGAGGGATGTCCAGCGGAAAAAAAGTAATTGTATTTGAAGCCTCGGCCAGTGATCAGCTGTTTATACGAGGAGGGCTCCATAGAGGCAAGTAAGGATCTGTCAGTGCCGGTGTACTATATGCGCGTGGCGGCCTAAAAGAGAATATGTATTGTTGATCAAGTGTTTGTGGAGAAACACTAATAAGGAACATTCAAAAACATTTTCTTCCCCAAGTCGCGGAGTTGCTAGGATTGACGGTAGTCATCCGACTGGAATAGCTGTACCTCTGGCCCTATATGCACGTCTAGATCTCATGTTGTGATATTTTCGGACTTCATTGCAAATTCTTACGATGGAAGTCTATGCGCGATACGAATACATTGAAATAGGACGTCTGATTTCACTTATAGAGTACAAATATTAGACCTGCACTTTCAAATCGGTGATCCACGCCAACAACTCGCGATTCAACAAGTCGGGAGTTTCAAGCTGCACCCAGTGACTGGTGTCAAACTCTTTCACAGTCCGATTCGGACAATACTTGGTCAGATCGGAGAGGGCTATAGCAGGTGGAACAGCATAATCCGCCTTGCATCCGCCGAAGAAGACAGGCAATTGAACGAAATAGTTGTTTGCAGATACCTCTAGATAATATGAGCACCAAAATGTTCAGTCAAGTTTTTGCATCGCGAAATAATATGCTCACGTTTGTCGTCTTCAGCGCCGATACCATATACACTAACCTTGTACCAATTTAAGCCTCCTGCGAGCCCGTCCTCGGCGAATCTAGCTTTGATTATTTTCTTTTCCTGTCGTCAATGCACAAACATTAGATGAGCTAGACTTTAATGTGATACATGAATACATACTTCCTCTGTGAGATAGCCCACAAGGGGGGCTGTCTTGTCTGCCAGAAGCCACGCTTTAACTGCACCTGGGGTACATAAATGCTCCTTCCACAGTTTTGGATCCGAAGGGAAGATGAGATCAAAGAAAGAATTCGACTATGCGAGAGAATGGCGTCAGTGATGATAGATCACGTCGATGGTCAGATACCGACATGATCCTTGATAGTTGTGCTCGCTCCGTCTTCCACAAAAAACCTAGTACCTGCTGAGAACAATTGACGACAGCATATTGCGTGAACACGTACTGCCAGTATCCGAACGGGTTATATCCAATTGCATCCTTCAAAAGGGTTGAAGAGGCATCATAGTTGTATTCAACATTGGGGGGCACGTAGCCGACAGACAAAAATCCAACTGCGTGGAGCCGCTCCGGGTAGTAGTTGGCTACACGACTGACCAGTGCAGATCCCCTGTGTTTCGAGTCAGCCGGTCCAAAGCAGTGATCTCAGTCGTCCACTGTACCAGTCGTGCCCAATAACAATAGCTTTGTCGACGTTTTCGGAATCTAAGATATCGACCAAGTCGGCCGCCATGCCACTGTGTTTGTAGGCAAGCCGGTCTGTGGGCTTGTCCGTTCTACCATTTCCGAGAGTATCGGGGACGATCACGGTGTAGCCTTTCTCCCTGAAGAAAGAGACTTGGTGGTGCCAGTCGTACGACGTCGAGGGGAAGCCGTGAATCAGAACCAGCGCCGGATGCGAAGATAGCCCCACAGCAACGAAGTAGTTGTACTTGAAGCCGCGCTTGGTAGTGAGTTGTTTGTATAGTGAAGGATCCATCTGGGAGGTAGGAGAAGTGGGTGTTTCATAGATGCTAGCAGTTCAGTCTAAGTATGACTGGGAAACGAGATGCACTACACCGTCCCCGTAATCCAGTGCGTCGGAAACTCAAGTGGGCCCGCATTTGATCTCGTTTCATAACGTCATTTCGGCTGGAGACCCTCCCGGATCCTCATATTCACCGGCTGACCAGCTCTCCTCGCTATGCCGAATCGGGATCCTTCGATTGATATCCTCAGCCTCCAGGAGCAAATTCGGTCGAACGCGGTCACCCTACTCACACTGGAAGACTGTTTCGAATCTCAGAGTCAGCAGATTAGACTTGGACATGGCAAGTATATTCAAGTAAGTACTTCATCTTCGATGACTCTATCCGCCGGCTCTACAATTTTGCCTTTGCCATGATCCATACCAGGAGTTCACGATTGACCTCATCTGGAGCCTGAAGCTGTATCCAATGGCCTGTGTCGAACTCTTTTATTGTGATGTTCGGACAGTATTTCTTCAAGCTCTCATAGGCGATTGCAGGAAGGGTGGCATAGTCTGACTTTCCTCCGCCATAGAAGACCGGCTGCTGAACGACGTGATTCGTTTCCGGGATTTCTGCAGGAAAGCATTAGTCGCGTAACCGGAAATTAAGAATACCTATGATAAGATGTCCACGTTTGTCGTCCTCAGCTGCAATCCCTTTCAAGAATACTTTGTACCAGTTCAAGCCTCCAGCGATTCCTTCATCAGCAAACTTGCTCGTCATGACTTCTCTATCCTATGTCATCGCTGTCAGTTATAGGAGACATAATCGTAGAAACGATGCACTAAGACACGCCTTTTCAGTCAGGTAGCTGGGAGGTGGGGCCACCTTTTCCGCTAATAGCCATTCTTTTGCTGCCCCCGGCGGACATAGGTGTTCTTTCCATAGCATAGGATCCGCAGGATATATGAGACTAAGAGCAGAATCCCACTGTGCAGGAAGATAATATTAATCGAAGGCAATCCGGTATGGAAACGGAAAATATACATGATTCATGATAATGTCTGCTGCCCCTTCTTCGGTAAAGAATCTACTCGCAACATAAACACAACTCATCATGAGATGACGGAAATGCTCACCTCCAGTATCCGAATGGGTTATACCCCAATGTTTGCGCTAAGCGGTCCGTAACTGCACTATAGCTGTAGTTCACATGGGAGGCGGAATATCCGACTGCTAAAAACGCGAACGCAAGGAAGCGTTCCGGAAAGTAGCTGGCCAACCGTGCCACTAACGCTGATCCCCTACATGTGGGTTTACGCAGAACAACAAACCAAATCAATCAGACGAATTCAATCAATCCAACGAACGACTGCACCAATCATGTCCGATTGCGATGGCCTTGTCCACCATCTCTGCATTCAGGACGTCTATAAGGTCTACTGCCATACCACTGTGCTTGTACGATATAGGATCCTCCGGTTTATCCGTACCCCCGTACCCCAGAGCGTCTGGGGCAATCACGGTGAAACCCTCCTTCTGGAAGAAAGAAATCTGGTGACGCCAGTCATACGACGTCGAGGGAAATCCGTGGACAAAGAGTAGCGTGGGCTTGGAGGGAGTCCCAGCTGAGAAGTAGTAGTTATATTTAAATCCACGCCCAGTAGTGAGGGTTTTGTACGAAGCAGACTCCATCTAGGACGTATGTGGTCGTTAGAGACGGTAATTTGAGAGACTTTTATACGGATTTGCAAATGCTCGTGCCAACCAGAATAACCTAATAGCTGCGTCAGCTGCTCCGATCGGAAACCAACGCCTACGCCTTACGCAAACAACACAAGATCCCCATCTCTTATTCATGCATGCCATACATTAGATCGTCGCCGCTTTGCCACGCCCTCTGGGGCTGGCGACGCCGACCTCCGTCCCCGAGTAAGTCGGCAGTAGCCCGTGTGATGACCGAGGTCGACCCACGACTCTGATCCGACTGCCAATGTGATATTATATACTCGGCTTGCAAGGTTACATGGCGTGCAATAATCAAAATTTGAAACATTGAACTCACAGAAATTCTCGATGAGCGGAAGGCAGCGACATAAGCCGACTGTTGGCTTCCAGCAGTCGACGACATATTGTCAACTGCAGCGGGAAGAATTGATTATCAGCACAGCTTCTCCAGAGCAAAGTATACTGGGCAGGAATCATGCGGTGGCGCAGGAAAGTAGTCATAGCCGGATTATTTTTCAGATGCACCGCTCCAGCCGGTCAAGTACCAGCAGACAACGTCAGCCAATACCTCCTTGACCACGACAAAGATAAATTCATAATCAACGAGTGACAGAGGACGTACATGTATGCCCTTTAATATCAAGACGTGTCGCAGATTTTGAAGAAAAGAGGCACTGTCGCGATACGACGCAGTGACACTGCAAGTCTGCAGCAGGCAAGATGGACTCGTGCTCCGATGAAATCGTCTCGCGGCTATTACCGGACCGATCGACTTGAGCTGGCCGCACTAGAAGTCTGCCACTTAGTGCTTGAGAACGCTCTCCCGACAACTCAGTAGCAGGCTCGTACCCTTCTGCATCATCGAGTCCGTTGAATCGACGCACTCGACTGCTCCTGAGATCAAGAGAGACGACTTGCCGCTCGTCACTGAGACTGATTACCCAGAGGTCACTACCGTTGATCCAGCTCGATATCGATCGTATGAATCATCTAAGCTGTGCTTCACAGAAATGGCTGGACAATTGAAGGACGTCCTCCTCGTGGGGCTTGGCGCTGTTGGCGCCATTTGTAAGTGCTCCTTGGTCTCATACCCGGCCGTGTCCTATCAATGTGGATAGAACACGGTTTGGTACAAGACCGGTGCTTTTTTCTTCCTACTGCACTCTAGCAATTGATCGACTCCCCAGACTCACTCATCCTGAAGAGGAGCGGACAGGCTCGTGTGACCGCGGTCGCAAGAAGCAACTACGAAGCTGTCAGCGGTCTGCCGCGCATTCCTGTGCAAGCACTGGTCGCTCCACTGACATTGATCTTTCCCCTGCAGCGAAGGGGCTCCACATCAAGAGCAGGAAGTACGGTGAACTGCAAGGGTGGAAGCCTGACAGACGTATGTGCCATTCCGTTATGGCGACTGCATCAAATTAACGCCGACACTATCGCCCCAGTATTTCCGACGGTCGAACAAGCTCTGGATAGGCCATACTCATATGTCATAGTTACATCGAAAGCAATTCCGGAACTTGTCCGGACACCAAAGCTCCTCGCACCACTTTTGTCTCCCGCATACAGCGATAAGCATCCCCAACCCACATATGTCCTGATGCAGAATGGTCTCAACGTTGAAGTTGACTTGTACAACGCGCTGAAGAAATTGCGCAGCTCCCAGGAACCAAGTATCATCAGCACAGTCGTGTGGATCGGCACCGGCATGCTGGACAGCACCTCTGTCGAGCATAATGATTTCGTGAGTGCACCGTTGTGAGCTACGCAGTAGTGATGTCAATTATAGGCCTGCGGGCGACCCCAGGATCGGGTATCACTCGGTGTCTACCGTCCATCTACAACGACCACAACCAACACCGAAGCCGAGTCTGCCTTGCTTCAAGGCTTTGCAGACATCCTCTCCGCAGGCGGGAGTGACACAACGATCGTGACCGAGATCCAGCGAGCAAAGTTTGCCAAGAACATGTGGAATGCATGTCTCGGCGTCACCGCTGCCCTTGCCCACTTTCCTCTGCAAGCAATCTTCCGTCCATCGCATCTAGAGCCTGGCGCTTCTGCGCAGCACCCATCCGAGTCCACAGCGGAGACGTACACCGCGCCCCAATCATTGCCCAGTCCCTCTGCACAGGTCACAGCCTCGATCTCAAGCGCGTCCCCGGCAATCAGCGCCAACACGATCCCTTTCCTATACGATGCAATGACAGAAATGTCTACGCTCGGGCTGAAGCTCTTCCCACCGTCTGAGTCGGACCCAGGGCTCGACCCGGACGTCGCGTTGAAGACACTCACGAATACATCGCGGCTGAATTCGCTCCCAGAGTCCAATCATCGTGCAAGCACACTCGTGGATGTCGAGAACGGCCGCCCAACAGAAGTAGAGGTCATTCTTGGAGAACTGGTGCGGATGGGCCGACGCGAGGGCGTGCCGATGCCTGTAAGTACCTTCGGGATTGCGACCGCGCCAGTGCTGATGATCTTTCGCAGCGGATCGAGACCTTGTATGCGTTGATGCTTATTATCCAGAACCAGCTATTGCGTGAGTATAGTAAGCATTGATCGTTGCTTGAGGGAACATGAAGGAGCCTCGAGAAAGACATAACAAGGAGATCAATGACATGTACGTCGTAAGAAAGCGAGAGAATATGATTTCGAGTTTTGTTATCAATGCAGTGCACGCTGCAACTCAGCGCTTTTGATTAGTACGGCCATACCGCTAATAAGATGCCAAGTGCCTGTCCATGGATAGGTCAAGAGAATAATATTTTCTGCGCGCAGTATCTCACTGAGATGAGCTCATGGGGGGAATTTCTCCAAGGAACTGTTTACGCTATTGTCACCACGCGACTTCAGTATCAATTCTTTTAATGATAAGCTGCCCGAAGCAACCTACCAGCTGCAGAATTTGATCACGCTCCGGCGGCGGAATTGCAGTGATCTGCGCTTCAGTGAGCTGTAAAACTTGAATCAACATATCCTATTGACCGTATCATGTTAGATGGTAACTGTTGCGACTGTGAGAAACTTGCCCTGTGTGCCAAGTCATACCCAGGTCCTGAAGGCTGGGGTGCCATTTGCGGAACCGGCTGGGGTTGTGGCTGCGGTGGCGGAGCGGGCCGGTAATACGGCGGAGGTTGTTGCATAGGAGGCGGCATGTGCTGTGCCGATGGGTACATTGATGGAGGCGCCGGTACAGGTGGTGTGGGATGATGGACAGGAGCGTGCGGTACCGCCATGGACGGTGGGAAACCAGGCTGGGGATGTTGCATAGGCGGGGGCTGTGTGTATGATACTGCGGGAGGCGGTTTCTGTGGGGGTGGCTGCTGAAGTGGAACAGAAGCACTTGTAGCTTGAAGCATCCGCTGTTATGGGACATCAATGAGATTCTCATTCAAATGACGATGACACTTACTTGTAAGATACCCGCGTCGACAATGTTGTTGAGGAGCAATGCTTGGAACAGTGCATATCCCAGTTGCGGATGAGCAACAAGTAATGCTCGAGCTTGTTCAGGATGTGTGATAACAAAAGCCTAGAAGCCATTCACATCGATGTCACTTCCATTACACACGTCACCGGAAAATACATACCTTCATCTGGGCTAAAACCTCTAGGATTTGGGTCGGATTCGTTGTGGCAAGCATTTGGCTAATCGTATCAAGTGCGGTAGAGCCAGGGGGCATCGGAACGCCAGGAGGCAGACTTTGGAGGAACGCATTCGGGTCATGATTCTTGGATGGACCTCTATAGTCGTCACGATCTCCGTGTCGTTCACGCTCACGTTCGCGCTCGCGCCATTGTGCTCGCGTTTCACCCCCATCGACCAATTCGCCGCGTACAGTCGTCTTGCCTTCAAGGAATGGATCAGAATCAGCGAGATCAATACGGAGTGGCCGCCCGCCAAGCTCCTGCCCGTTCAGATTTCGCACAGCGGAAAGCGCGGTTTCATGATCTTCATCCAGCACAGCACGACGAGTAAATTGAGGTCGGGCGCGGGCAGCATTCAAAGCGCATTGTCGCACATGTGATTATGTGATATCGCACAAGCGAACATTATTCATTGGCGTTTGATGAGAACAATGTGGCCATTTAGAATGTTGCGTTTTGGAGACATTTGAATAGATGACATTGCAGATTGTGGAGGCGCGAAAGTATATGCACAATCAATGGTTGGGTCGTGACATTTGCAAGTCAGGATTATATTTGAAGTATATTTTGAAAGATAATAGTTATTGTTGAAGTGGAGGATTGAGCCAATGCCATTGCAGTTGAAGTCAGACACATCCAGATTCAAGCATTTCAAGAAATAGAAATTAGCTGTACCCGAAAATTCACAAAAGCCGTAGCCTTTCGGTTTCCCAGTGTCTCTGTCAAAGACAAGTCTGTTCGACGTGATGTAGGGAGTAAGCTTTCGGTGGGGCTTTCTAGGGGTCTTGGAATGTCTACCTGAAGCCAACAACTTGCCCTACCGTTTTGAAAACATCAATAAGTTGTTCCTGTGGCCCGAGCACAGCTTTTACAAACACATATTGCAGATAAAAGGCTTTGCATACCTCTCCCATATTGTAAGGGACATTTCCGACTAGTTCACAGCCCGACTCAGCATGCTGGGCGTGGAATGAAAAAAATATTCTACATACCGAAAACCACCTTACTCATGTCTCCTCATACAGATTCTTGTCAGTATGCGTTCGAAGTGTGTCCTGAGAAATAGTGGAACAGGGAATAGGTGAGTGTAAAAGCAAGTTCAGCGAGAGTTGAACGCTCTTTGACGACGGCGGCAAAACCAGACGAATCGCAAGCGCCTTGTTGAGCCGCGCCACAGCTGGACTCCGGGTCCGCCCGGGACCTCGGAGACCAATGCGACGTCGAGCGCACTGCCATCGCACTCTCTTGCTCCAGCCGAGACTCCTGACGAATATCAGTAAGCACGGATCTGAGAAGGAACCAAGTCGAAGGTACTGGAGGATTGAAGCTGAAAGAGCAAATATTCACCTCATAATGACTGAGTTTTGACATGGATAAGGGGTTACTTACACCGAGTCATATTCCTTTTCTGGCACGCAGACGACCAATCCGTAAGTCGTGTAATCTCACTGCACCTCACAGTCGTGAGCTGATTCTCCAAGCTGCGGCTTCTTTCCAGCACCGTGTGTGCAGGGAGATTGTCCCGTTCTGCAGCACTGCATCAGCCAGCACCGGGTGTCCAATTGTCGACACAGCATTTACCGGCGAATATGTGAGCGCGTGGCGCGTGAATCGAGCGAATTCACGCGCGTACGGACGGCGTGCGCAGTAACCGACAGGCTGAGGCGTGCCGCCTCCAGCACGCACTGGATATCGTCGCGACGTCGTGTTTCCGGCTCATGACTACGCCTCGGACAGGGTCTGAGTCATCAATTTCTGCTTTCAAGTTTTGACTGGACATGTTGCATTATTCGGTACTCCACTGGCCATGGCCGATCGAGTCATCGGCGGTATATAAGGCCCCTGCTTGCCCGGCGACGGTTCCGTTACCAACCCGCCCTTTGTTCTGATGACCCGCATCCTCTCATTCTCGACGCTCAAGAAACACACCATGGCGAGTCCTGAGCGAAGCTCATCGACCAGCGATTCTACTTCGCGCTCTGTCGACCGCATTCTCGCTCGCACCTTTTTAGGCGAGTTACTTCGGCGCCGCGCCCAGTTGTCACACGGTATCCGCAGGTATCAACCGAGGCAAGTTTTTTCGTCTTATGCGTCTCCGATTTTAATTTGACGAGTCTCTGGATGGACATGCAGGATGGACATGTATGAGGACGCGAGTGGCGCGCGCGTGATCGCTGTGCTCGAGCTACCGGGCATGAAGCAAGAGGACATCTCTGTGCGCATCGAGGATGGTCAGCTCATCGTCCAAGGCGAGCGCCCCTTCCGAAACATGGCGCGTTCATCGCCGTCTCCCAGCGTTTCCGATGACGGCTCCGCTGTTGTCGCGCCATCTAACGCACTGGCTATCCCGCGTGGATATAGAACTCAAGAAATAAAGTATGGGATGTTCCGCCGCGCTATTAGCCTGCCTCTTAGCACTCAGGTGCGATACTATCTCTTTATCGTTTAGGGTTCACTCGTTGAATGCTACAAATCTTGCAGGCAGAGCATGTTCAGGCTTCGCTGAGCGAGGGCATGCTGACCATCTCCTGGCCTCGCGAGGAGATCGACGAACCTGCTGTCGAATTGCCCACTGAGCTCGTTCGATCTGGGACTCCTTTCAATACCGTTTCCTTTGTCGAGAGCGGATAGCGATATCTGCCGACTTACACACATCGATCAATTCTGTATCACCCTTCACATCATCATTCTGTTTTAATGCTACGTATCTCTCTGTATCTCCAGCATTCCTTCGTTATACGGATTTCGCTCGCTGACGTTTGATCGCGCTCAGACTTGGGCTCTCTACTCTGTGGCGCCGATGCTCCATACAGTACTGGTACATTAAGCTTTACTTTGACTAGTTATGTATCACCACTTAGTCGTTGCTTTTCATTTGTTATCGCCGCGCATGATTTATAAGTAAATATTGGGTTGCTAGTATGTGAGTGCACTCATGTATTCATACATACTTTCGTGGCGTACTTATCTGGGTCCATACACCTCTTCAAATGGAAATCTTTTTTGATAGGATAGCGGCAATTTGACACAGATGGAATATTCTCGACCACGTACCAGGCACTTCCCTGAGAGATCGGATACTTTCTCATTGCCAAGGCTGCGTGCATTTACGTCTTTGATTGATACAAAGTGCGGAGGGGTGGGCTGTCAAAGTACCACGTACACGTTGGCAGCACCGTACTCAATTGGACCACACAGTACGGCACAGGGGACCCTGATGTCATATATGTGCGAGATGTGACTAGAGCCGTGCGTCTTGCTCCTGGTATTGACAGCAAATTGAAGCTCACTTAGCTCGCCCACAGCCATGAAGGGGCACGGAGAACACGCGTGGGTCGCCATACGGCCCACAGTCCCCACAGCGACCAAAACAATCCACCCCTCGCGCCCAAGGTGCTGCGTGCAAGAGCCACACAGCCTCATTCAGGACACACGCCGCAGCTTGATTTGTAAGTACTGGTGGATATCTGCTGACCGCCTATGCTGCCAACCACAGCCCGATTGGTATCAACTCCGAGGAACATTCTGTCAAGCCTGAAGCAAGTTGGCAGTCCAGCTGACTCAGGTGTCGAAAAGCCGACTGAGACGGAAAGTTGAACGAGCGGATGCTTACTGATCCAGCCGTAAGCTCAAGAGGACTTAGATCATTGAAAGAGAGAACGGTTACAGTGCCGGCGTGCTGCGCCCACGTAACCCGACGGGACCGAAGTCAGCGGGTACGGACCTACGAATTGATGATTTCCGAATAGGATGATAAGATTGCGGCGTATTTTTGGCATTCCGAGCTTGCACCCACTTGTATCCCTCTCAGAATACTGTTGAGAAGCTATCTATTTTGAGGAGCTGTCATACCTCGGGATCAGGAATGTCTACCATTCGGGACACCCTGGCGATGCTTACTACGCAGTCCTAGAGCATCGGCAACGGTGAGTCAACTGTTCGGCGGGGATTAACAGACGACCAGTGTGCACTGATTGCGCAGTGTGCAGAGCAGGTGATATGAAAGGGGATAGACAGCAAGATACATGCCTTAGGACATTGGTTGAGATTACTCCATACCAGCATAGCGTACATCCGCATTAGATTCAAGCCAGCTCATCCACCGCTTTAGGAAGCGACCTCCATGCTGAAGGGTCGACGAGTCTCCGACGACGCACTGCATACGCGTCTAGCTCAGATATATGCGTAGCACACAAGAAACGTCGCTCTCACCAAATGGCGTTTGGCACGTGTCATGGCCACTGCAACGGTGTGATTCTCCAATTTTCTAGTTGACATCGGAAAAGAATCACGCACCATTCAGTCGTCGCTTGTCCTTCAGAAAGCCAACCTCTCTCTGACATTATAACGTTATCGAGAAGTTCACATAAGAATAGCAATTCACACGAACCTTCTCATTGCTGCGTACTAACGTGATTATGACAGCGTCCTTTTCGCGCCCTTGCATTCCATCAACAGTACCGATTTCGAGATCCAGGCCGTGAATAGGGCGCAAGAGGGACGTCAAAAGAGATACCTGTGCCTGATATCTACGGGGTAGATGTCTTGTGTACACAAGTCATCGCGATATCGTTTGTAGACTTACGGGGTGATAATGGCAATCTGGGACGGGGTGATCCCCGTTCCGATCTGGCACAGGGTATACCGTTCACTTTTAGAGACGCAATACAGAGCGTTGGCGGATTGCTTACCAGCTGATCAACATAATTCTTTACTACGGCAGATTCATTCTCGTTACACTTGCTACCTTCATCTCCCTCACTATCAGTCCTTTCGAAGTATTCACACCCCGCGGTATCAAAGAATACCACTGGTGTACCCAGCAGCTCTTGCTCATCATCCTCGTTACCCGCACCCGCGTTTGGCAGGTCACGCAGCAAATGAGACGCGACGGACGAGTGAGATACAAGTTTGGAATGATACATCACTTTAGAGGGGAACTCTGCTATTTTCGCATGCATACTAGCGGTAAAACATAAACTCATCGTACATTTGGCAGTGATGAGCAACACACCGGTATTGTATATTCAGCATGCGCTTAATATCGGGGCCGTACATCTTTTCGAGCCTATCAAACAATGTTGTCTCTAGTGTACGTGGTGGACGCAATCCCTGTCGCCTGTTGGCTTTCTCTTTTTGTGCTGGTTGGCGGGGTAGCACTTTGACTGGCCTCTTTGGAGTGTTGTCCTCGCGCTCACTTGAACTGTCTGTAACAGAGCTGCTCTCGTCTTCAGTCGCATCTGAGCTATCTGTGGTTAAAGGTGGAGTTGCAGAGATTTTGCTCTTGGGTGTCAACTTTTCGTTTGGGCGAAATGATTGCGGAGTCCGGCCGCTATTTGGCGATTTCTTCGTGCTAGTGTCAGCCAACGTCTTGTGGTCATTAGCGGACAGAATTGTCGGCGGTAATTGCATCGGATCTCCGGCAAGGATCAGCTTTTGACCCTTAAATATTGGAATCCAGCACACCTGATGAAAAAATAGCACGTTAGCAGTAAAAGACGACGAGTGGACGTCTCCCCTACCGCTTCTAGAGCTTGTGTCGCCTCATCGATAATAATAACATCAAATTTATGGTTGCGTAGTTGTCGACCACCGGCGGAGTGGCAAGTCGCGAGTACTACCTGGGCGATGAGATGAGTCAGTCCGGACAATGAACTCAACCTCACAGACTTAGCGACTGACCTGCGATTCAGCCAATACAGTCTCTACAACCCCTCCTTCTCGCTGTCTGTATCTAGAAAAATGAAGCTTACTAGGCAAGGACTGATTCTGTAAATGTGTCGACTGACTCTTTTCGAAGCGCGCGTACTTCCTCCCAGAGCTTTTTACGCTCTGCTCCTCTAGGTGCTTTGCCTTTAACCCCCTTCGCCTTACCAGATAGTGTATCGAGGGCCGCGGTCAGCTCGTTCTTTACATCTTTGGCCAGAGCTGCCTGCCAGCACCACGCGCGATTAGGCAAGCAGCACTCCTGTACAAGGCGACTCTTATTTACCTGATCACTTCTGCTAGCTTTCACCTCAAGCGTCGAGTCTATAATACCTTCATGGGCCATTACACGCGCAGGATGTCCAACTCTCGTGACCTTGATTTTCTCTCCGTTCGATGGCGAGGGAAGCCCTAGGAGTCTTTCCAAAATGTTGTCCACAGCTAAGTTCGAGGCACCACAGATGAGAAGGCGGAGCGGCTTGGGATTGGAAGATGTCACAGAAGTCATTTGGCGGATGATCTCTATGAGGGTATGTGTTTTTCCCGTCCCTAATTACTGTTCAGGTTTCTTCACACCGAGACATCAGTTATCTCCCGGAAAGACGTACCCGGGGGACCGTGAATACAAGCGATCTCTGGAGATTCCATGGCGAATCTAACGGCGTCTTGTTGACTTGAGTTTAAAGTCTCGTCGAAGAAAACTATTTTCTGTAGGAAATTTCTTTTGGATGGCTCAGACATGCCCATGAGGACGCGCGTTAGCTGAGTCAAGTCAGGCAGAAATTTGTCTTCGCTCTACGAGTATTTTGAGCCTTCTTCATAAAACTCAAAAGTTGTGGCGTTGCTTACTGAGGGTTGCGAATCTGGTAGTACTATCTTCTCTAGGATGTTGAGCGCTTTATCCATCCTGTAAAGAAAGAGGATGTTGGAACATGCCAAAGTGCAGGAAATCCAGATGATTACCGGTCGAATGTTACACTATTAGCGAGTTTGACCACGCGGCAACGCTCAGGCAAGTCCAAGCCGTCTGTTGAGGTTTCCGAAACGTCGAGAGTTATGACGATGCGCATATCAGAAACCTAGCATAAAGTAAGATTATACACGACGGTGTATGTGGGAAAACACACAACCTTATATACAACGCCTTCGAGGCCCTGCGTACGAGCTGCTGCTGAATCGTCAGGCTTCTTGGTCTTCGACACTGCTGACTTTTTCCGACCAAAGGTTTCGGAGACATTCTCCTCTATACGCGCAAGGTCGCCTGGTCTGATTGCATGTTCTGGCTCATCTGCATGAAACAAGATGCGAGATGCGCAATACTTGCCTGAAAGTATGTGAAGGAAATATTGGCGTCGAATGATATGCTATGGGTCGCTCAAGCTCTACCAGTCTATGTCATAAAGTTGTTAGATCTTTTCGTGTCATTCAGCCCAATGAGCGCAACATAATAGATAAAAGCCGTACGTTTTCCCTCCCAGACCGACATTCAGGCTTGCTATGCCGAGGGCACCTAAGGCAAGACCTTTCTGCTCTAACAACTTGGGTCCGCATTTCGATAGGAGCAGCGACGATCTCTCTACTTCTTCGTCGCGCTCTTTGTTTAGTAGAATACGATGGCGTGCGATGAAAGCGCGCAGCTGAGTCTCAGAGGTCATGTCTGGGGATGTACGCAAGGAAAGTGGCTGCTGTGTCAAAGTATGACTTTGGTACAAAGACGTATGGCGGGCCCGGACATCCGGCCCGACCGACTAGCACCCTTCTGAACCAGCGGCTCTAGGCTACTCGAGAGGGTTCTGGTATTACTGTGCACCTGGGAAGTATGTAGTAGAGAACTCGCCGGGATTCTGGACACGTCAAGCACCTGCATATCCGAATCACTCCATCGTCCAAACCATCTTTCCCCGTCCAAGCCACCTTTCATGAATCCATCCTCATACAAGCAGATCACCACCACACGGGGCTTCAAGTATAACTATTATGTGTCTGCTGGGGACCCCTCCAAGCCGATCCTGCTGTTCATCCATGGCTTTCCTTCTACATCCTATGACTGGCATCTCCAAGTGTCCTTCTTTAAAAAGGAGGGTTTTGGTATGATCGTGCCCGATGTCCTGGGTCATGGACAGACAGACAAGCCTACGGACCCTGCGGCCTACAAGCACAGTGGAATGGCAGCGGACATTGTCAACATTTTAGATGCAGAAAATGTCGACAAGGCTATCGCCATTGGGCATGATTGGCATGGCTGTCTCTCTGCTCTCCTTGCGTCTCTTGAGGTGACCTTCATGCGTTCAGGGGCTCGTCTCTAGTCAGTCGTCTGGCTAGCTATCACCCCGAACGGCTCCTTGCGTTCGTGTTTCTGGCTGTTGGCTATTCACCGAACAATGCCGGATACAGCTACGACGCTGCCGCGGCACGACTGAAGCAAGCGATCGGGTACGAACCGTTTGGATACTGGCAGTGGGTACTTATGTGAGCAACAATCTCTTCGCGTATCTCTTATCTCGCTTGGATTCAGCTTTTTCTCGGAGGACGGAGCGAACAAAGTCATTATGGAACACGTTCGTACTTGCTGCTTGGCGTAAGCCATTTGAAGACCTACTCTGCGGTCTTAGGGTGAATCTTTCCTCAACTTGTTTTACCCACGGGACCCCATAATTTGGAAGGAGCATATGTGTCCCCCGGGCGAGATCAAGGAGTGGTTGTTGGCAGACAAGAAGGCACCACCTGCTAGTTATTTGACCGAACAGGTACTGCGAGACCCAGTCATGCTTCTTTGATACGCATCCGTCTTGGCTCATGCCCGCTCTTCGACTAGGACAGAGAGGACATCATGAGCAGAATTAGCATCGATGGGCTTGCTGGCGGCCTGAATTGGTACAAGGTGTACACATTAGGCATAACCAGTGAAGATGACAGACGTGGGCATGACCATTGCGCACATTGCTACTTGAGCTGACACTGAATTTGCACACCAGAGATACCGGAGGCCAACCACGTCATCCAGCAACCGGTCCTTTACATCGGAGGCAAGATGGACTACGTTTGTGTACCAGCAATTGGCTACCCAACTCTCAACAAATATTGTCCAAACCGGACCCTGAAGGAGTACGACGCCGGACACTGGCTACAGTTCGAAGTTGCCGATCAGGTGAACAACGAGATCTTGGCGTGGATCAACGACAATGTGAAGTTATAAACTCGATCGCCAGCTCGACCAACGTGTATCTCTCGACTCCCGCTCACACTTGTAATAAAGTAAAATGTTCATCCCATGGTAAACACGGATTGGATTTCCAATTACTGATCGCTGCAGCGGCAATGGCATCGCCTAGGGACCCGCTCGCAACAACAGCTAATCATTGAGACCGATATCTGGTAGTGGCCCCAGGCAATGTGAAGCAACAGCATAGCATCCTCCTGCGCCGCGCGGTGATAATCTACATTAACATTCCAAAGCTACTGTACAAGGCATACAATATCATATCCAATTCCGAACATACATGTTACTAATTCTACAGCACATACAATTGCCTCCTCTTTTCAAATCTTCCGTATATCAGAGATAGAACATCGTTTCCTGTAACTTACCTCTGACGCCGCCGTGCCACATGCGCTCGGCTTCCCTCCAGACTTCGTCTCCTCCGGCGCCACTCGTAGCAGTCGTGCCGCTGTCGGAGTGGCCTTGCAGAAGCGCATGCAGGTAACACCGTCCGCGCTCGCATGCGAGATCGGCATAGTATGCCGGCGAGACCAGGCTGACCGCCTTTGTCGCGCGCGCGAACATGTAACTCACATCGTTCGTCAGACCCTGCAGCTGGTCAGCCCGGAATCCGATTTCGTCGTGTACGACGTAGTAGTGGGTCGGCCGCGTAGTGCCTTGCAGTCCTATGTACGATGTTAGTGTAAGTATTACGGGTAAAGCGCAAGCTAGTAGATCCCTTACCTCCGTGCGCTTGAAGGAAGAAATCAAAGTCGTACACGGCAGTGACACCGCGATCGACGACGGTCCCCGCCTTGGGATTACCGAGGTTGTCTGCATTCTGCGCCTCAGTAGGATAGAAACGGGTGTGATGACGCTTTCCGCAAATAACGATCGTCAGCTTGGGTGAGTACTTTTGTTGCGGCGTGTTGAACTTCTGGAACGCCTTCTTGATCTCGGGCATTTCATCCGCAACGACAATCGCAAATTGACCCTGGAGGAAGCGTTGAGCATACAACCAGCCATTCTGCGTACGAGGCGTACCTCGGAAACACCGTCGCGATACACCAGGATGCGTTGTGGCAACACCTTGCTGCGATTCTTGAAAGCATTGATGCGCTCTTCCATCATCTCAGCCAGGTCCGTGATCATCTAGCACAGTACAGCATGAGCAACTAGCCGCAATACATGGTCGTCAAAACGCACCTCTTTCTTTGACTCCTGGATGCGGAGCGTGGCCGGGAACTGACCATACTGGCTATCGACACTTGCAACTACCGCCGCAATGGATGGAGTACCTGAGACAGTCCCGAAGCCCGGATGGGTGACATCCATGCCCACGAGCATGGTCGGTGCCTGATTGAGCCATGTCATGTTCCTCTGGTCTAGCGAATGGTTCACTCCGCCCATCTTCATGTTGACCTTCAGCGCCACATTCGCAAAATACTGGAGCTGTCCCTTCTCCTTGCGGATTTTAGCGGCATGTACACAAACGGTGGCGACATCCAAATACACGTCGCATAAGTGCTTGAGCCCAGAATAGATATTCCTGTCTCCACTAGAGAGCATCACGAGAACCATGCTCGGCTTCGGTTTGAGACTTATGAGTGCTGCGCGGATCGCAGCGATAGCTTTCTTCCGAATAGGGTCCTGAGGGTCTTGCCGAGGAAGGTCGACCGAGGTATACGCAGGTTCGTCTCGCCCAACCTGCATCCCGGACTTTCTGCACATGCTTGCAAAGCCGTTCACAACATTTCTGAGCTCCGGATCATTCGTTCCTCCGAACTCGTCCCGAGGGTGTCCGTCTTGGATGAGAAGCACAGCCCATTTGTCGAGCTTACCCCCTACCGCAAATCTGACGTCCCGCAAATTCCAGCTGGCGCGGTCGTCTACCCTAGGGGATCCTGACGCGTATCGTAGTGCAGGCGGGTTGAGGATCCGGCCTGGCACCACGGCCATTTCGTTTCCTATACTGACGCCGAATGCACGAAGTGGATCCGGTTCATCCCTGAACCCAAGTTCATCGAGCCCACGCTGCGTAATTGCTCTCGCATTGACGTTAGGGGGTTGAAGAGCAATCGTGATCATGTTTGCAGTGTGCTCATCAGTCAAGCGCCCACGGTAGGGTTGCTTGGGGAGTATTTCGCAGACCTCCGGGGGTAAATAATTGGTCCTTTTACCACCCACGTCGACCAGAGGAAGATCTGCATGCTGCAGACGAATGCTATATTCTGAAAGTGTCTGAGCTTAATGAAGTGCCCCAAGCCAACGACAACAACCACGTACTGCGTTGGAAATATTGCTCAACGGTAACCTCGCCATAGTCTTCCGTCCTAAACCTATGCTGTCTAGCAGTTACTTTTGCGACAGTTTTAATGGTCTTGGTGTACCCCAAGTGGATTGTCTTGATCCTAACGTTCTTGGCGAATGCATTGTACCGAGCTCCGAAGCTTGCGTTGGCGAATTCCATCATTCGTTGAGCTAAATTTCCAGGCGTGTAAAATGCCGTCGTGCACACGTTCACGTTAACCATGAGCTGCTTATATGCAGGACGCACGGACGAATAGAAACCTCGCCAGGCCTCAAGACCGCCGCCCAGGGGCGAGGGAGGAAATTCGGGGGAGGGATGGAAAAATTTATTCCGTCCTACCATGACGCCGCCACCCGCTGCACGGCTCGGATGGGCCGCAAGGATGAGATTGAGCGCAGAGATCACGGGCATGATGTCGTAGCCCCGGAATTGGGGTGCACCATTCAGATACCTTGAATACAGAATAGTCAGCAGGTCACGACGAGGAAACCATTCCAGAAAGTGTGCTGAAGCTTTGAGGCTCCAAACATACTGGAATCTCCGCTTCGAGTACGTTAGACCCTCAAAGCGTCGGCGCCTTCTGGAGATGGATGAAACCGAGAGGAAAGCACGCACTGGGTGAGAGATTGGGTCTCGATGTCCTGAATAAACTTGATACTGAGAGTATACTCTTTGTCCCTCTTCTTGTCACGATCCTCATCTTCATCAAAGAACGTTACTTTGATCTCCAACGGCTGAGGGAGTTTGAGTGCGGCGATGAGTTTGCTGCTGTGGTCGTGTGCAACGCGACCTCGCATACCCGCCCGTTCCCAATCGCTTGTGGCTTCTGCGAGCTGGAATATGCGGCGCTTGACACGCTTATTTGTGGCCTCTGGGTTGATGGCGACATCATACTCATAAAGGGGGCCCTTGGGGACACGCACGGGGAAGAAGTTTGTCCGCAACTTGATAGCCCTGCCCTGTGTGCCAAAATCGGGGCGCGTAGGGAGATCGGTGTCTCTGAGTGTCAAGGAGCCGAAAGACGCCACGAGGGCGTCTTGAGTATTATCTGCGAGGCGAGCATCGATATTCGCGGGCACATTGGGCAAGAAGACACTGGGGGACCGTCAGCTGAGGCCAGGAGAAGGGGGAAAGGGAAGGGACTCACCCTCCGGGCTCTCTGGGGGGACCACCGCCCCGACCTCTGAATCCGCCTCGGTCGCCGCCTCGAAACCCGCCGCGATCCTGGTAGCCTCCACGGTCGCCACCTCGAAACCCGCCGCCTCCGCGGTCCTGGTAGCGCCCGCGCCCGCCCCTATCGCCAGGTGAGCCCCCGCGCCCTCGAAAGCCGTCGCCGCCGGGCACGGGGCTGCCCCGACCTCCAGGACTGCCTCTGCCCCCCCGCCCCCGGCCTCTGTCGTAGCCACGTCCTCTATCGCCGCCTCTGTTCATGGTGTCGGTGGGAGATTGCCAGGCGGTAAAGTCGATGTGTTCGGAGCAGGAGCGTGCGTGCGAGTGTGCTTATATGAGGGACACACACTCCATGCGGACTCTATCCGCAGACACGCGGCCCTTTTGTTCCGTTGAGCGGTGAGCGTTTGACAATGGCTGTTCTCGTCCAATTCCATTTGTCGCCGCACACTTCAGCTCCTCCTCCCGCCCACGTGATGGCATCCCTTCTCCTCCCAGACTTTGAAGCCGTCTCCTCCAGATTCCATGGCAACATACAGTCACTATGGACACGCCGACTTGCATTGTCGTCGGATGTCCTGGATAAACCACCATTCGCACTCCGCAATCTACGAAGAGTGTCCGAGCTGCGGTCGAGGACTGGTTTGCAGTCGCCTTTCTAGACAACAGTGGGGCTCTTGCCTCCCAGGAGGATCTTTGGTCTATTACGTCCAGATCCGTATGTGCAACAGGTCAGACATTCCTCTTTCCGGTAACATGAATCTCCGCACATGCGCGGTACCGCCTTATGATTCGCCAATCTCCGTGCGAGCTCCTCCCCGAGAGAGAGTCCCTCGTTGCATTCATGATTCCACATCCGTGCTCCTGCCATCCTGAACCCTCTCAGGTCAGCTGGTAACCCCAGGCTATATAGTCGGTATGCAGGTTGATTGTTGGGGCATCCCTCCCTCCCCAAGTTCAACCGTCGAACGTGCTGTGGTTCTGGATCAAGCTTCTTGCTGTTCCGATCTGCCCTAGTCCGCTTCGACGATATTCGATTCTGTCATTTGACCGTACCATCGAGCAACGTTCAGCTACTCCACCACTCAAACACAGTTTCACTCCGGTTTGACTCCTACTAGGTGAACCCGCACATCCGAGATTCCAATCGGGGCCGGACAATACTCCAAACTTCCTCCGCTAAATATACGAAGATCGTGGGCATCTTCGAGTCCTCTTGAGCCGGTTCTCCAGTCTTCGACAATCAGCGCGAACGTTCTGGCATAGTTGGTCCTGCAGCTTCCTTTTGCCCCGCGCGGCTTCAGCCGGCCCAGTGCTCACATTGGTATTGCAAACACGAAGCGCAGGAAATTAGCCTTACCCATAGGGACTTCGAAGCTTATGTGTTACGTGCAGAGCTTCCCAAAGTGGCCGTAAGGGTACTGCAAGAGGCCAGCCCACAGCGGCCATATAGCTATCTACTGCAACGAGCGACGATACAATACATAAGTGCGATATACGATACTAGAATGAGAGGCACGGCAGATCTACAGAAAAGACAGTTGCACACCAACAGAGACATTCAACCCAGGTCATGAACAAGATATTTGCCAAGGGGCCCTTCACAAGACAACATCGTGGCGAGGCTTAGTACTCTTCCACTTCCGACAACGACGCATACTCCGAGACAGTCTGGTCGTCATTGTCATAGTAATCTTGCACGACTTCCCGCATCGCATAGCGCATAATGGGCGTGATCGGAACCAGCTTCGGGCCTACGATCTCCTCCTCGTAGTCCTCCGGGCCCTGCCCCTCGATCATCCGCTCGTGCGCTCGCAGAATCTCCTCCTCCGTCATCGGCACCATCTCTCCTTCCTCCGACAATGCGATGTCGTTGTAGTCGTTCACCGCCGTTGCGCTGCTCCCTGCAGCAAACTGCATGCGGACGCTGTCGCGCACGCGGATGCTGTCTCTGAGGCGCGTGCTGTCGCGCAGCCGCATGCTCATCGTCCGCGAGTCGACGCCCTCCTTCGAGATCGGGTCCGTCCACCTGAGGTCCAGGATTCGGCCTTTGACCATGCCGTCGACTGCGCGCACGCCCATTTCGCGGCAGAGGAGAAAGTACGGCAATGACCGCGCTCCAGGCTGACCGAGGCGGTTCATGACCTTCAGCAATTGGATTGCCGTAAAGTCTGCGTGGAATTCGGGCGCAGCTTCGCCTCCGCCAATGGAGCCAAAGGTAGGCGGTGCCGCATGGGGGTTAGCGGTGAGTGGGGAATAAATATGAAATCCCGTGCTGGAGCCAGGTGGGGGAGACAACCGATGGATGGCATGATGCGAAGCGCTGGCACTTTGTGGGCTAGTTGCAGGCTCCTCTCCGCCATTGCTGCCAATGTTGTTGGGGGGAGCTTGAGCTGAATGGATTATGTGCAGATTAAGCAGCGCATGCGCTTGCAGGAAATGCGAACTTTGCTTGACTGTGTTATAGTTTAGTACATGTGATACGAAAGTCAGGAAAGAGTGGCTTACTGTCTAATTTTCCGTTCGCGTTAACTAATCGCAAGAGTCAGTATCAAACGAGACTATATAAACGAGCGGCTCACTATAGTCGGTGACATAATCCTGCCAATGAGCAAGTTTTCCGCCGAAGGCCTCATACAGTCGCTCAAACTCTAATCCGGAACGCAATGTCTCTGGGACTATGGGCACAATCCTCTCCCGGAAGAATCGCCGTGTATCTACCTTTGGGTAGTCGCCAACCGTGATAATCTCAACGTGCAACATGCGTGAGTCCTACAGGAACAAGACGCCATGAGGACGGCCATCCGTACCTTACAATGTTGCATTACGTTCAGCTGCCGGAGCCACGTTTGATAGAACGGGTCGCTCGTCGCGTGTATGACATGACAGAGACGATCCTGCTTGGTAAGTACCAGCATTGCATCCAGTAGCGATTTCATAGTATCCACCGAGCGAATCAGAGCTGGACTGCGGCCGTTATCAAGCGCCGCATCGAGCAGGAAAAGGCTTAGTGTCCATCTCGCAGCGAATTAACGGAAACGAAAAACTCACAGCTTATGCGCTTCGTCGATCAAGAACACCGGGATCTTCTTTGCAGGCACCTTCCACTCCTTCCCCTTGCCCTTTTCCTCATGCCTTGCCTCGCCATTCATCTGTATCTGCTGCTCGCGCGCCTTCTTGTCCGCACGACTGCGCCTGCTAATGCTTCCAAATATGCGCGCATGCCATGGCGCGCGAGTATTCTTCTGCTGCCCGTTCTGCACGCGTGTGCTGTTTGACAAGTAATCAGAGTCAGTGCTTGGCTTCCGTGATGGGGGTCGAGCCGTGGATGAAGATGGATCGGGCTGAAAATTCCAGTAGCGCAAAAGTGAACTCTGAAGGATGTCGATCACGATGGAGATTACGGACACGTCCACATATGAGCAACGGTGAAGTACTTGCCTGAAAAAGTTCCATTAATCTCGCGATGTCGCTTGTCTTGATCTCGCTCATGGCTGTATGCGCAAGAGTTTCGCCTTGTTGGGTTGAGTTAGACATCCTTCGCTCCGCATTGAGCCTGTCATGCTAACATAAGGAGCGTTAGTCGTGATCGACATACAGCAATGAGATCTGAGCCGTTCCAGCGACAGCCCCAGAGCGGCTCGTATCTCCTAAATATTTACTCCAGAAATCGACCGGTCCCAAGCAGACAACCGTCCGAATCATGCCACACACATGTGCACCGTAGCCATCACAATGCATTATAGCGAGCAAGTTTAATCCTTACCTTAAAACCCCATGCCTCTTTCTCAAACACTTCGTAACCAGGTAATTCTGGATCTTGCGCGATGCTCATGAAAAATGCCTCCATTTGTTGGCTATATGCAAAATCAAACTCAGGATCCCACGATACTCCAATCAGAAGCGCATACACTCACCTCAAACTCATGTATAGGCTTGACAGGTCTGCAAAACCGGCAATGCGGAGGTCAAAGTGCAGCACATGGTAAGTCGATCGCGTCAAAACTTGTCGCAATAGCGCCGTCTAGAAAACGCAACGGGCAGTGTCAGAACGGAAATCCTGCGACAGATTCCTGAGCACTGTGACAACACACAGGGTCTCTCCCTCCGGGCCATGCTACCCAGTGCTACTCTGAGTGAAATGGAACGAGCGTACCTTTCCGACGCTACTGGCACCAAACAATACAGTAAAGCTAGGCTCGCCCTCGAGTGCCCGCTCGATAGCTTTGAGCTCTGCTGGCCTATCGAAAAATCCCGGCAGCGCAGAAAACGTATGTGTCGGACTGAGCTGAGCACGTTCTCGCGCTTCCGCAAGTTCTCGTCTTGTCTCTTCCAACATTCTCCTGGACTCCGTGAGCGATCGCAAGGTTTCTGACGGCTTGTAGGGGTGCGATCAGTGCCGATGCGCTGGTCTGAGTGGGCGCAAGGGACGTACGTTTGCTAGGACGCTTATGATCTCTCCGATACCAAAGAAGTTTCGCCTGTTAGGGTCAGAGGGGAGGGGCATGCCGCGACGGCGAGGGATGTTGGAACGAAATAGCCAATGGATATGGAGTCTTGCGGTAGGGGCGACCGTGTGGAGGCTCTGCCTGTGCGAAAGTGGTCTGGGGCGTGCAGAGGTACGAGGTCGCGGGCGGGGCGTGGGGGACTGCAGGCCGCTTGTACTTTGGAGGGGGAGACTGGAGGTGCTGCTTGTGCGTGCCATGTGAACGGTTGGAATGGAGGACCTCAGATCGACGGAGGATGTCAATGGAAGAGGATCAGAGATAGGACTGCGAGCACGAGAGAGAAAAGGGCAGGAGGAAGGTAGGACTAGCGAGGAGAGATGAGATATTGAGAGGAGGCAGGCGGCCCCGAGGGGTGTGCGCGGACGGAGCCTGGATATGAGGACGGGCATTGCCACATCGCGCATGGTGGAGAAGGCATGAACACTCATTCGCTGGCAATGCTGCTGTTCATGGGGTCGGATCTGGCGTCGAGAGTGCGCGGAGCACGTTTCGAAAGTGCAAGAACAGGCGCGAACCGCACACGAGGTCGCAGTGCATTCATAGAGACCGTGTTTCAGTCGTAGCAAACCGCCAGAGAAAACACAGCAAGCGGTGATATGTTTTGGAGGACGAGGGAGAACGGCCGGAGGCGACGTAAAAGCAGGGACATTTTCCCGCAACTCTGCCCATAGAGGACGTCATGGCAGCTTTCCCACCGTCTGGCGCCCGTGCCCCGCAATGCGATCACACCCCTGCTTGATCGGGACTAGTCGGGACTCCCCTACGGTTGGCACGGTACAGCTTTCGTGCCCCATCTCAACCCCATCTCGCTTGCCCTGCGCCATTGCACGTACTAAGTATGCCGGCTTACAAAGGTCTCTCGATCTGTATCGTTACTCTGATGGAGGAACGCGACCGAAAGATATATACTGGCAAGATGATCACCGTCCACAAAGTTCGGGCGCAAAAAAGGGGGCAGCGTTTCCTCTTGCTAACCCTTGACGCATTCCTTTCTGGACTTTTACGTTCGAATATTCAAATAAATTGTAATAGACCCCTGTAGAAATAGAGCCGAGATTTAACGGCATTGAATTAGAATCTGCCCTATGTCTTGCGGGCCGTGATGGGTATGATGGGGGCCTGTGGATCAGAGAACAAGCGCAAGGCCTTAAATTCTCGAAAGTTTCTTCGGCTGGTGAGTGACAAGGCTTTATTTGAATGAGCTCCAGTATACTCCGGGGTCGATGCAGGTGGTCCTGGAAGACTTGAGTTTTGGATCTACCGCGCCAAGGATGTTCGCTTTGCATTCCACAATTCCCGTGGCAATGATGCACACAGCGCGGAATAAACGTATACCTTCGCAACTCCTATGACGTGCCAATGTTGAGCTACTTACCCTGCAACTTTTGGAGTACCGAGGATATTCCTGTGGCTCATAATTGGGAGTCTCCTTCAGAGTGGGGTTATGTAGATGAAAAAAGTCATCCAGATCTGATATTTACCTTTGATTATAGACGGAGAGGTACGTCAAATCCTTCCAACTTCAAGTGTAGGACCGGATCGGTTCTCAAAGTACCACATAGGTAGTAGTGCAGCGATCATTTGCAAGACAGGATCAGCGGAGACTTCTTGGTAATTCCCAACCGTCTTGAAATCTACCAAGCGACCAGCGCGAGATATGTCATCTCATTCCAGAATCCAGAGTGCCGGACAGTCGATCAGCACGTACCCAGCCGTCAATGTACCAGAGCTCTCGCCGGAAGGTGCCCTTTCGTCATCGGATGATGACTACCACAGCGACGACAACTGTTATCCTCCTTCGTCAGCGATCATCACCCCAGCGCGGAGGGAGACAGGTAAGAGTAAGGGTGGGTCTGATCGAAGACGATCTAGCCATCTGAGTGGCTCTGTGCGCTGCGAGTTTAATGTTACTCCCATCGCTGAGGTTGGCAGTCCTCCGTCAGAGAGTGTTGAGGGATGTCAAGCCTCACTGAGAGCAGTTAGGCGGAAGCGCACCTGAAACTAGGCATCCATGGATTCTGGCTTTTCGGCTGATATTGAGGTGAGGCCGCTTTGTTGTTTCATCTAAAGGTGGTTCATAGCTCAATGGGTACATGTGTGCACTAGGCTCGCCATCGCTAAGGCACGCGTGACTATTTTGGAGTATAAGGCAGCCGGGAACAAGAGGCAGAGGGCGAAGGAGGACCTGTTGGTAATCGACCTGAAAGTATGAAATGTATGATGGGGAGCAAGTCATGAATGAAAGTGTGAGCCAGCGAAAATGGTCGCATTAGCATCAAATCCAAATCGATGTCGTGGCACTTGAGCCACCACCGCTTGTATGCCGACACCCCCAGGTGCCTCAATTTGCCTTCTTACAGCGGACCGGCAAGGTCACGGACATACTGACCGCCGAAAACGTCGACAAAGCCATTGTCGTCAGACATGATTGCACGATCCTGTCCTTCCCCGTCAATTTGATGTCCTTGAAGGCTCGAAATCTTTCTAGGACACAATACTGCTGAGCCGGCTGGCTAGTTGCATCATCCGGCAGCCAGTGTTCTGTGGTGGTCGCAAAGCGGACTACGTCAAGCCGCCTCCAGTAGTATACCATAGCCTAAACCAATATGGTTCCGACGTGACCATAGCAGTTCTCAAGACGGGGCACTGGTGCCGACTCGAGGTTCCTGACGAAGTAAAGCGTGAACTATTATCGTGGATCAAGAACAAAGTAGAGCTTCAACCTCCAGCCTGGCATGTGACACGCACTTCGGGATGGTGTTAGATGCGAAGCAGAAAATGTACATATATAGGTCAATAGGTCAATGGGGTAGTAGTTGGGATAGTAATAGAATGGGTTATACGATAAGTTGGTGTGAATGTCTTGAAAGCCGCCTGCAATAAGTGGACGTAGACGCGTATCGAACTTGCAGAGCTCCATAGTCGAGCCCAACCATTGCGACCAGATACAGATCGGAATCTGCAAGAACAAAGAGTTGGACAAGGACAAGGAAAAAGAGTGCCCGCTCTGCTCAGTCACTTGGGTCAGCGGCCGCTGTGGACAACTTGAGCAATCTCCTGGTGGCGCCGGCCTATCAACACTGATATGAATCAATGATTGAAAACATTTGAAAGCCGAGCTGAAGCATAAAGGTAAGCAGAGATCCACCAACCCAGTCGTTAAAAATCTTCACGCGACATGGCAGGAGAAAGAAAATATATTGCCAAGACGGTGTCACGGGTAAAGTGCACGACGAGATAAGTAAGACAGTCTTCGCGACTGTAATCATAGAAAGAGACATTTGATCATGCGCACCCTCAGCGTCGTTCGCAGACAGGGTCCTTACCTGAGAGCTCGATTGTGGACCTCCGATCCAGATAATCGAGTCTTGCACGGCTGGTATAGTTAGTCGACGTAGACTGATTGAGCGCGGGTCGACTCACCTGAGGCATAGGCCAGCCCGACACAAACAGCAAAACCCGCAGTGGCGACGGGATATCCCTCAAAAGCTTTCCGAATTCGGATGTTGGGCGTGGCGATACGGTGAGCCGTATGCGATGTTGTTTGAAACAGTTGGAAACCGGGCTGGACGAGTCTCGTAACGAGTACCTGTTAGGCTGGAATAGTATGGGATAAAGTCACATTCTCTCGCACCTTCCCTATATCCACCGACGACCTCGATCTATCGCCCACGAATTCGCTGTAAGGCTAAACTGTCGGGTAGAATATCTCGATGAGCCACTCCTGCCAAATTCCCCGGCCTGCTTTTGCCATTTGCCTCAGCGGGGTAGGAGGGGATAGCAAACGCGAGTATGAAAGCGCACTGAAAGCCCCAAGCAGTGAGCGAGCGTGTCGAGAGAAGAGACCATGTAAGTGAACGGGGGAATGCTAGAGGCGATGGCGGGACTCGACGACGCGGAAGAGTAATTAATGGACAGACAAGATATTGAGGACGAGAAAAAACCAAGTGTGTGGGCTGATAGACTGGGGGGGTTGGTAGGTGGAAAGCCAAATGCGGGGTTGAAAAAAATATGCAGCCAGCAGGAAACGGTGGCCAGGGCAAAAAGGATGGAAACAGATACAGCATCGTGGAGAGTGAGAAAAAGCGATGCAGATCGTGGCTTGGGTTGCGTGAACCACAGGTTTGGGAATAGTTGAGCAAAAATCACTTCGCATGATAGGCGTGGAGGGAGGAGATAGCTCGAGGACCAGCTATTTGGCTGCTCGGCGTGGCTCAGCTGTGGCTCGGGACTCAGCGGGGGGCAGTCTGGGTTCCGCGCTTGCCGCGTCTCTTGGCTGGTGTCCCTCTCCGATAGCGTCGATGACTGCACCTTTTTCTGCTTCGATGGCTGGCTTGCCTCGACGCTATCTGTGTTCTCGACGATGGGTCAAGACAAACTCACGGCTGCAAAATTATTGGGCGAGACCCCTGTCTGCTAGGATATTCGTCGTCCACAAATAGCGGTCAAAAAT